AAAGGCCTGCACTTGCCCAGCTTGGAAGAATATAAGAGTCTCATGAAAATTTGAATTTTTGGTTGTTTTGTGTTTTCTTCCATCTAAAAGCTCCTTCAAGATGGACTTAAAAAATATATATACTGATCAGAATTCTGCTAATCCACAGCAATTTTATTCACTGTTGGAGATGAGCTAACTAGGATGATTACTAATTATTCCATTTTGGAAAGATGAAGTGTATTGATGTCACTTTATGATGTGGAGTTTGATTAGTTCTGAATGCTGCTTTAAATTAAGCTTGTGTGTTGGCTTGAACAAATGGGCATCAAGTCAGTCTTTTCTCTGAGGATAGAAGCTTGATGATCAGAAGGATGAATGAAGGTCCTCCATTTTCACCTGGCATGTCTTTAGTTAGTGCCCAGAAAACCACAGTAGGGACAGCTCTGACAGTTTGTTTCCTAGGAGTGCAGATTTTAGCCATTAGCTACTTCAGCGTTAATACTATTAATAACCAATGGAACATGTTTTCAGGATTTTGCTTAAGAGAGAAAAGTAAAATTTAATAATTTAGACCTCAACTTGAAATTTACCACCTGATTCAATGCTTATGGAAAGATGGAAAAGAAATTATACCACCTCTTTCTAATTTTATCACTTTGGGGCTTTAATACCACTAATTAAAGGGCTATTTTGAAAGAGTCTTTCTTTATGCACTCATGGCAACCTTTCTAGAAGGTGTCCAGCGAGACAACTTTTCTTAATAAGATTTATGAATTTTGAGACTTTTAAAACACTGAACATCATTCTGAGACTAAATTGACCACTCACAAAATTTACAGGAATAAAGCACTGAAGAAGTCATTCCATTGGTTTACTTGGATTCACTGTATAAAACCAAGGGTTGGACACCTCACATTTTTGCTTTTAGAGACTGGACTCTAGAATAATTAGTTGCAAACTCATTATATGAGTTGTTTATAGCTCAAATGTAGGGGAAATTGAATTTATTTGCCTTCCTAAAACTGCTGTTTTTTATTAGGATCCAAAAAAATTATTGATCATAAATTTTTGGTTCAAAGTGGAAAACTATAGTCATTCACAATTGCATCTAAAATTGAAATGCACAACTATTTACCAATCACACTGATAAGAATAAACCTAAATTCAAATGAAAAGCATACTCCGTCAAATATGTCAAAAGTTCTGACCAACACCAGAGTCTGAATTTCCAGGCTCTCTTTGAAGCAGAGCCAAGGTTGTCATTCCCATGTTACATACTTTCATCATTTCCCACCTACTTTAAATGGAATTTCATCATCTACAGTCTGTGACATCTACTCGATATCATTAAAATTAAAATTTTCTGTTCTATGAAAGACACTGTTAAGAGAATGAAATGATGAGCCCCAGGCATGGAGAAAATATTTTCAAAAGACATATCTGATGAAAGATTGTTGTCTAAAGTCTGTTCTCTAGGTTGGCGTGTCTGTTCCTGCCCTGCATAAGTTCGTCAGAACTATTTTTCTAGATTCTGTATGCATTACTATACAAAATTTGTTTTTCTCTTTCTGACTTACTTCACTCTATATAACAGGCTCTAGATTCATCCACTTCACTAGAATGAACTCAAACATGTTCCTTTTTATGCATAAATAATATTCCATTGTGTATACGTAACTTTGTGTATATGTACATTGTGTATATGTGTAACTTCTTTATCCATTCATCTGCCGATGGACGTCTAGGTTGCTTCCACGCCCTAGCTCTTGTAAATAACGCAGCCACAGAGAAGAGACTTTGGACCCAGTGGAGGAAGGAGAGGATGGGGCAATCAGAGAACAGCGCTGACATATATGCACTGTCGCATGTAGAGAGCCAGTGGGAAGCCGCTCTGTGGGCACAGGGGTCTGCCTGCTGCTCTGTGATGAGCAGAGGGTGGGATGGGCGGGTGTGGGGAGGAAGTCTAGGAGGGGAGGGACTCGTGTCCGTGTGGCTGATTCACGTTTTATGGCAGAAGCCAGCACAACGTTGTAAAGCAATCATCCTATTAAAAAGAAAAAATTAAGACAAGATTGTTGTCTAAAATATATGAAGAACTCAATATTTAACAGAGAGAAAACAACCCAGTTTTTAAAATGGACATCTGAACATACACATCACCAAGGAAGACAGACAAATGGAAAATAAGAATTTGAAAGAATGTTCTGCGTTATATGTCACCTAGGAAATGCAGATTAGAACAAGGGTGAAGTACCACCGCTCACCTGTTAAGAATCGCTAAAATCCCAAACACCGACAACATGAAATACTGACGAGGAGGTGGGGCGACAGAAACTCTGATCTGTTGTTTGTGGAAACACAGAATGGTCCGGCTACTTTGGGAGACAGCGTGGCAGTGTCGTCCAAAGCTGATCATAGACTTACCACACCATCCGCGAAGCACGTTCCTTGGCATCGACTCAGCTGAGTTGCAAACTACATCTCCATGTAGTGTAGACACGAGTGTTCATCATCACAAAAACCGGAAGCAACCAAGATGTCTTTTAACAGGTGATTAGATAAACAAATTGTAGTACATTCATTCAATGGACTAGTATTCACTGATTAAAAATAAGCTATAAAGCCTTAAGAGGACAAAAAAGGACCCTTAAATACGTATTTTTATGTGAAAGAAGACAGTCTGAAAAAGGTACTTACTGTGTGATTCCAACTATATAACATTCACGAAAAGGCAAAATTGTCGTGACAGTGCAGAGATCATTGGTTGCCAGGAGCTGGGGAGAGGGAGGAGTCAAGAGGTGTATCAGTGACTTTAGGGCAATGAAACTATTCTGTATGATGCTGTCATGGTGCACACATGACATATTGTTCAGTCACTAAGTCGTGTCCAGCTCTTTGTGACCCCAGGGACTGCAGCATGCCAGGCCTCCCTGTCCTTCGCTGTCTCCCAGAGCTTGCTCAAACTCATGTCCATTGAGTCGGTGACGCCATTCAACCATCCAGTCTATACACATGATGTATATATTTCTCAAAACCCGTGGAACTGTATAACACAAACAGTGAATACCAATATACATTACAGACTTTAGTCAATAATAGTGTATCCATATTGGTTCATTCGTTTTAACCAATGTACCACTCTAATGCAAGATATTAATAATAAGGGAAACAACTTATTAGGGAAGGGAGAAAGGATATATTGGAACTCTCAGTACTTTATGCTTAATTTTCCTGGACCTAAAAAGTTTCTCTGAAAATAAAGTCCATTATTCTGTTTTTTTAAAAAAGTCTATGTTTGAAAAGAAGCTACATTCTTGTCTCTTCTGATTAATATGTGTGAATTTATGGAGCTGAAACTAATAATGCCGTTTAACAGAATTCCTCTTCTTTTCTTTAACCAGCCAGAATTTTTACATATATGCTAGAGAAATCCAGACTTGTTTCACAGCCCCCTGGCCAGAGCAATTTTCTCATCTTCTACTTGCTGATGGACGGATTATCTGCTGAGGAGAAGTATGGACTGCACCTTAATAATTTACATGCCCATCGGTAAGTGATTATGTATCTTCAGTTTGATACTTCTGCCTTCAAACTGTCGTTGCATTTTAGCAGTCTTAGAGTTTCTTCTTATTTTTCAGAGAAGAAATGGTGACTTCTTTTAGGAGAATAATTGGATACACTGTTAGGTTTGAACTATCTGTGTAACAGGGTTATTATCATTTATTGAGTGTTTAGGTGAAGTTTGTTGTATGTGTATTATCTTAATATTTCTATTTTTCTAGCTTTCAGATCAGAATAATAGATTAGCACATGTATGAGCATTAGTGTTCCTTTGGGATATTTTGGATGTAACATGTTAGTTGTGAATTCCTAATTTGGGGTCATCTTTTAAAGATCCCTTGGAGAAGGGAAAGGCTACCCACTCTAGTATTCTGATCTGGAGAATTCCATGGACTCTATAGTCCATGGAGTTGCAAAGAGTTGGACACGACTGAGTGACTTTCATTCACTTCACTTTGAAATAATGGGACATGATATTTGAGCAATTATGGTGCATTAGGAACAGATCCAGTTAATAATGGCTTCAGATGAACCGTGTACCCAAGCTGGGGGGCACTGATTTTCTGCAGGGGAGGCAGACCGTGTTTGTTAGAATGAGGGGGCCTTGGTCACAGGATGGCCGTGCAGCGGGCGTCTTTGCGATGTATGCGTTTCCACCGACCGCCTGACCCCGTGTGTCTCCCTGCAAGGACGGGTCCACACTTGCAGAGGATGAGAATGAACCAGCAAGGAGAGTGATCCCCACTCAGACGAGGAGTGGGGGAGAGGGGGCAGAGGGTGGTGGGTGGGCAGGTCCAAAACCAGCGGTGAATTCCTGGCTGAACAGCGAGGAGGAGCCACGCTCTGATAAAGCTGCGTGTCAACTTCAGACGTCCTGAGTGTTGGTTCACTGGCTGTTTGTTGCCGGACTCAAGAAGAATGGTGCACTCATCGTGATTTTATGAGAACTTTTGTGGGAGAAAATAAAGGATGCGTGAGGAGGAGGAGGGCCTCCCAGGTGGCGCTGGTGGTAAAGAACCCATTGCCAACTCAGGAGAGTGGAGACCTGGGTTTGATCCCTGGGTTGGGAAGATCCCCTGGAGGAGGGCATGGCAACCCTCTCCGGTACTCTTGCCTGGAGAATCCCATGGACGGAGGAGCCTGGCAAGGTACAGTCCATGGGGTCGCAAAGTCGGACACGCCTGAGCGACCGAACACGCATGCACGGCGGGGCAGAGCATGGCCAGAGGACCAGTCACATTTGGGAGCGGACAGGGAGGTGGAGGGGCCCGGTGCCTGCGCTGAGGGGGGACCTTTCCCAGGCCCCCTGGGGTCTCCATGGAGCTGGACCCCCAGATCTGTCCGGGAAGGGACAGGACCACGTCTGCAGAGGGGAAGGAGGTGGGGCCTGTGCCCGGGGGAGGGGAATGAACTGGCCTTATTCTAAGATTATTCTAGATTATTATTTAATGATAACTCTCGTTCGGTTTCTCTGAAACTGTTACATCCAACAGTACAGATCCCATTCATCACGTTGAACAGAGACATAAAGTGAAGAAGGCCTTATCAAAATTGTTGTTCACAGCGAGAGATTGTTTGGAGATTTACTGTCCCCCAAAACAAGAGAAATTTGGAAGAAAAAGAAACACTGATATTGAAGCATGATAGCCCAGGCAAAGGCAATTTTAAAAATAGAAACTCTTTTGAAGCTCCAGTACTTTGGCCACCTGATGCGAAGAGCTGATTTAAAGACTGAGGGCAGGAGGAGAAGGGGACGAGGGAGGATGAGATGGTTGGATGGCGTCACCGACTCAATGGAGCCGGGTTTGAATAAACTCCGGGCGACAGTGAAGGACAGGGAAGTCCGGCATGTTACGGTCCATGGGGTCACAAAGTGTCCAACCCAACTGAGCAACTGAACAACAGCAAACCCACAAGAGCACTGGGAATTTTTCTAATCAAATCGCCTCGTTTCCTAAAGGAAGAAATCAGACCTGGAGGTGCAGGGCGCTCTGTACTGAAGTGCATATACAACAGCAGTCGTGAGATAACCCGTTCTTGAATCACTCTCTGTTTTTCTACATCCTACGTCTCTGACGGGAGGGAATGCATCCGACTGGGGCCTATTGGGGTGTTCCGGGCCGCCTGTGGGGAAGAAAAGTCTTGGTTGTTTGCATTCCTCATCTTTCCTACCAGCAAAGGCTCAAAGCTGACGGCAGACCATTGCGTTAGATGGTGCGTCTGCACGCGTTTGCGTGCGTGCTTGTACACGCGTGTGCCTGGCGTTGCAGACGCAGAGCCGCTGGGGAACAAAAGGCAGCGTCTAGTCCAGCATTCAGAGATACAATTCAGCCTCTTGGTCTGTGGTTTGGACCCCTCTTTTGAAGTGTGAGAGCGTGTGGGAGAAAACAAGTGTTTCTTTATTGACCTCCGTTCCAACATCCGTTTCTCTTTGCAAAAGAGAGCTTGGAATGGCTGAGGCCATTTAGAAAGTCAAACGTCAGGGCTTGCTTTGTGAGAAGACCCAACAGGAAAGAACTCAGCAAAATCATGAATAATTCAAGTCTCTTGAACAAAGAAGTTATTTTATTAAAATGAATTATAAATATCTAAGGAGTGCAAAACAACATTCCTCAATAAAAATGTACACCGCCACTCCAGATTCATAAAACATATCCATTGGAGCATTTCTACAATGACAGTTCCACAGACAGAGTGTTCTTTAATAATAAGACAAGCAATTTTGCAAGTTATAATGCCTTATGCATCCCGATATTTTTGTGATTTGTGTCATGCGGGTCTTTTCACAGTCACAGCGTTCGTGGGTTTTCTCACTTTTACAGTCCCGGTCAGGCTTGAGGAGCTTATATTTGTACTGGGGTATATCATCTTTGCTTGGTGATTACATATATTAAATAATAGAGTTTTGTAAATTGTTTGGCTTGTTCACAATCAGTAGTATTAATAACTTATTAGCTTTCCAACCTTTCACAATTTGATGATCTTTCTGAGTTTCCTCCTTAAGGAATTCATAGGTAAAGGATATCACTATATAGCTATATTTATATAACTATAGATTGTTATATAAACAATATATAAATAAACTGCATATCGTTTATATACAAACAATATTATCATCACACCTACTTATCTGATTTTAAGAGATATTGATATATTGTCAAGTAGAACAAATCAGCACCTACTTTACCATCTAAATGTCCCTTTGCTTATTAAATGCTTATTCCATAATGCAACTTGTCTTGAGATTTTGATGATGTATGTTGAGTCTTTAACGCAAACATTACAAACATTTGCAAACCTGCATCCTTAAAATGCATCTTTTCTTTATTACTTCCAACTGATTACCTACATGAAACATATAAATAAACGTGGGACAGGAATTGTAAGCCGAGGACATATCCAGGATTCATCATGTGTCCTTATATGACCAGAACTCCAAAGAGAAAAAAGGATTATTGTAACTGATGCCACTGCAGCTAAAGCTACAGAAGTGTTTTTGTTTTTTTTTCTGGTTCTGGTTTGGAACTAAAAGTTTTCAGAGTCTCACATGAAAATTTATGGAAGTTTATTTTAATGTTAAATGCACCTAAAAATGCTCTCTTGTTTGTAAAATTGGAACAGTATCTAGAACAAGCAGATAGCACTCTTGTTTATAGAATAGAAATGGAGCAGATCTAGACATCAAATCTTATAGCTTAACTGCATGAAAGCAATATTTATGACACTTTGCCTAGAATCTTCCTGGACAGGTGGTTTAAACAAGGACCACTGGAAAAATGTCTCTAGGTCCTGACATTTTGAGCAGCAGCAGTAAGTTGCATTATAGAAAACTACCACTAGATGGCACACTCGCCACAAAGTCGGACTGCCAAAATACATACCTATCTCCATCATTAAAGGTTCCTTTTTTTTTTTTTTCGAACTTAACTTATTTTTAATTGAAGGAAAGTTGCTTCACAATAAATCTACGGCTTCCACGTGAGTCAGCCAGAGGTATGCGAGTGTGCGCTCCCTCCGGAGCCTCCCTCCCACCTCCCACCCCTTCCCGCCCTTCTGGGTTGTTACAGAGCCTGGGATTGAGTCCCGAGTCTCGCAGCAAATTCCCTTGGGCTGCCTGTGTTACACGTGGTGGTGTAGATGCTTCATGTCACTCTCTCCACTCGTCCCAGCCTCTCCTTCCTCCCCCACCCCGTGTTCACAAGTGCCTTCTCTATGTCTGCGGCTCCACTCTTGTCCTGTAAATACGTTCGTCAGTATTTTAGTTTCTAGATTCCGTGTATATGCGTTAATGTGTGATATTTGTTTTCCTCTTTCTTATTTCACTCTGTGTAATAGAGTCTAGGTTCACCCACCTCATTAGAACGGACTCAAATATGTTCCTTTCTACAGCTGGGTAATATTCTATTGTATAAACATGCCAGTTTCTTTACCCATTCATCCACTGATGGGCATCTGGGTTGCCTCCATGTCCGAGCTATTGTCAGTTATGCTGCAGTGAATGTTGGGGTACATGTGTCTTCTTTAATTTTGTTTTCCTCAGGGTATATGCCAAGTAGTGGGATCGCTGGGTCCTATGGTGGTTCTTCTCCCAATTTTTTGAGGAATCTCCATAGTGACTGTATCATTTTCCATTTCCACTGACAGTGCAAGAGGGTTCCCATTTCTCCACACCGTCTGCAGCATTTATTGTTTGTGGGGTTTTTTGATGATGGCCATTCTGACTAGTGTGAGGGGATATTTCATTGTGGTTTTGATGTGCACTTCTGTAATAATGAGCGATGTTGAGCACCTTTTCATGTGTCTGTTAGCCGTCTGTATGTCTTCTTTGGAGAACTGTATGTTCAGGTCTCGCGGCCGGTTTTTGATTGGGCTGATTGTTTTTCTGTCACTGAGTTGCATGAGCTGCTTGTGTGTTTTGGAAGGAACCCTTTGTCAGTCTCTGTCCAGGCTGTGCGGCCGTGTTCCTTCTTCCTTTTGGTTTCTGTCCT